GGCTGGGCAGCAGTAGAGGGTGAAATACAAATAATGCCCAACCTGAAAAGCTCAAAGAACAAAAAGACAATTTCTATTCTTAACTAAAAACTCTTTAAATCTACTACAGGACTACTGCTGGTGCCTAACTTTGATATGCAAACCAGAACATCTAAAAACCTAATTTTAAAATTTAAAATAATAATTTGTGAAATAGTTTGTCTAGATTTCAATGCATGAAAAAGAGGAAAAAGTCATTCTTGCTTACACCTATTATCTTCTCTGTTCCTACAGAGGCTTTTCTAGCTCTCCAGGGTCATCTACTCCATTTGCAGGTATGGAGGCTGAGATATAGAGCTTGATTTGGCTAAACTCAACAGCAAAGAAGGGAGTAGAAGAAGCCAGCTTTCCTCACTTTTAATCAGAAGCTTAAAGATGTGCCTGGTGTGTGCTGGCTACCAGGTATCAATCTGGTGCCTATGGAAATAATGAACACCAGAGAAAGACTTGAGGTTATTTAAAAGGCTCTTCATAATTATAGACCTCCCCTTTTTCAGGCTGGGACAGGTCTCTCAGTTAAATGCAGCATGGAAATTATAAGCAAAATAGTTGGTTAGACCAGTAGGACAAATTGCTCAGGACAAGTAAGACCAGAAGTCAAACTTAGATGCTATAGATTCTGACTCTGATAGTAGAGAATCTGACTTGCCTGTATGGGGAATATGAGTTGGCTGCTGCCCTAATTTACATACCTACATAAGGTACCTAAAATTCAGCACTATGCATAGCAACTTTTAGATCATCTTTATGTGACAATGCCTTGAGCATCAGACTTACCAACAGTTTACATCACAAGTCTTCTAAACAGAGTCCTTGTCATTTTTCTGCAAGCAAAGGAAACATCTTTAGTTTTATTTAAAAAGCACATCACTGTATTATTCTAGATATAGAATCATAGAATCATAGAATCATAGAATCATAGAATGGGTTGGGTTGGAAGGGACCTCAAAGATCATCTAGTTCCAACCCCCCTG